AATGGCGCCACAGTCGATTGCTAATCATAATATGTTGTCCGTCTAGTTTTAAAACATTTAACCAAAAATATTCTCTGAATCTGACTTGAACATGCAAACTTTTAATGTAGTATATCTACTAACCCTAAATATAGCTGCAATATAACCTAGAACCATAGACGTAACGACTTCCTTTAAGCATTCAGTTTTACTTGGCCTGATACTTCTTTACGCACAAATTTTAACAAGTGCGCCAGGAGCGTGACAGTCGTCATATCTAAAAGTCGTCACTCGCGGTGATCGTCTGTTTGCTGGAGTGTGTGGCCATTCATTAGTGAAACCCTGTTAAGTCACCACTCGTGCTATTCTAATCACATGTCCGAAACCGATGAGACGGGACACAGGGGAATGGTAGTCAGGAACCTTCAAAGGACATGTTCGTTGGGATCGTTATGGGAAGTTTAGGCTAACCGAGCATGGCGTGTAACTCAGGGAGACTCCGATTACATGCCGACAGGTCACGACTCGGCCAAATTTGACCGTCCCGGCACCGTGCACTATTTCAAATTGCCGTACTCGCCTTGAGACAATCCAAGCCGCACCGTAACAGTGCTGTAATATCCTGCCTTGCCCTTTTGTTGTAGAATTACGCACCGTACGGTGCCTTTTTATCTTTACTCGCCCCCTAGTTTATTCTGTTTATCTTAGTACTACAGTCGACATCTAATCATAACACGTACTAGCTGCGTAGATTGTCTGTGTGATGCAGTCTATACAATCGCCAGCATAGCTCAGGGTAACGTGAAAACTTTCAGCGTGACAACGACATTAATCAGCACGCAGTTCAATATTATATTCCTTCCTGATTAGCGGCGCACATACTACAACTATGTTTAGTGTATATTCGCTGTACTGTCAATTATAGCGCACCGCAGGAGCTGCGCGTTATCAAATGGTCGTGCGGTTCTCAGGCTGCTATAGCTGCTAATGTGGCCATATGTGTTTTGTTACATTAAAAGCAGACGATGTTTTGATGTACTAACTTTCTTATGAGTTTTTCTTTATTTAGCCAAAGTGCCCTTGCCGTGCCCTGGTCTCAAATTCATTGAAGTTGCCTTCGGTGCTTTCAAAATGTGCCTCTGTGCCCTTCCATTTAGAGATAAATTTCAAGGCATGTATCTCGTCATCGTGCCTCAACAATAATTGCTTCGCACCTCTCCATACTGCCAGACTTAATGTCCGAGCCTTGGACCGCGTACTCACCGCTTACAAGCTGTGTGTCAGATTAAGATGGCAAGCTTCCGCAGTTATGTATACAGTAAGTAGTCTCATAAATACTTTGATAAATTATTTAAATACTGTAACTAGAGTGGCTGAAAAAAACGGGTGGACCGACGGTCCATTTAACTTGTTAAATTTACTGGACCGAGAGAGATTTTGGTGGTCTCGGACCACGGTCCACCGCCTAACGTCGAAGACTGGTATATACAATATAATTTTGTTAGAATGATTCTAGATTTGCCTTTACACAACAGAACTGGCGAGTACAGCTGACTCTACAAAGGTACTGACCTCTGAATTGGTTTCTCGTACAAGTCCTCCTTCTTGCCAGGGGTGTAGTTGGGACCCATGATTCGTACTTTCTGGCCAGTTCCGACCGTACCAGAGAAAACACGACCAAAAGCATAGAACCTGCCCTTGTCGTTGGTGGGCACCATCTTAGAAATGTACATCATCAACGGTCCAGCGGGGTTGCACTCCTTCACAGCTAAGTTGGTGCAAAAACAACAAACGATTACCAACGAGCATCTACCAACCGTCTGAGAAAACTGTGCCAAAGTGAATTTTACATATCCTAGAACAATTTATAAAGGAAATACGAAACCTCTCGAGAGCCATAACAAACTGCCAGAAAATATATGAAACACATTTTGATACACTATGAGATCAACTATGGTCCGAAGAGCTTCTATAAAACCATAAACCTGTATATCCCAAAGTTAACACCTAGGCGTACACCCTAACACCACGTGTGTATGCATTCTATACAGTGTAACACTTCTTCCTCGCGTTACCTACATTCTTTTCACCAAGCATCGACCATCACGATCCCGTTACATTGCGTGATGTGCCATCTCAGAATTATTCAGCCGATAATTATTTACATAATGATTCAAGCGGTAATTCTTTTCATCCTAGATAGCACACCATCAGGTCAATGTATATATATATATATATATAGTGTGACTTATACAAGTATGTATATATATGAGTATGTGCATTTTTATCCAGCGATCTTGATAAACTACGAGGTCAACTATGATCATAAGGCCACCCTTAAAAAATTGTTTGGTTCCCCTTTACCTACTCGCCTCTCAGGGTACCGAGTAGGTAGGTAGGTGAAAAATCTTTTTTATTTTGTTTTGACAAGATGTGTGTATGTATATTGTATATTCTGTTTTGTGTATGTTTTTGCGAAAAGAAATAATTTTTGTTTTGTTTTAATCGGCCAATAAAATGTGTCGAGTAGCGGCGTTTTGGCGAGTCGGTCGGTAAAGGGGAAACAAGCAATATATTATCTTAGGCCTATTAGCTTCAATTAAACCATGACCCTGTAGTGTATATCCCAAAGTTAAACATCTAGGCATACAGCCTAACACCGTGTAGCTGCACGTGTGTCTGCGTGCGTGCCGGTGTCCGCGTACGCGCACACTCACCGACGGCTGCAGCGTCGTCCATCGGTCCCTCGTACAGCATCTCCATCCTGTAGCGCTGCGCGGTGACGGGCGATGGCAGGTGGATGGCTATCATCTGCAGCAGCGTGTTGCCGGCCGGCAGCCAGGTGCGCATCACGTACTTGAGAAGCGGCTTGCCCTCGTTGTCGCGCTCGGGCCCGTCCAGCTTGCCCGTCAGATCAAGCTTGTCGAGCAGCTTCGGAATCTCGTCCTTCTTGAAGTTCATGATACAGTCGAACACCTGTAGCGAGGGAAGAATGGTGAGCAACGACCAGTGAGCTACAAACCCGCATCAAATTACAAAATAATCTATCAGCAGAGTTATTGTTTCGTGAACGATATTAATGTAACAGACATAGATGACTAATGCTACTGTAACAGATATATGAGTCGGTCACGTTCTCCAGGAACATGGCAAGCGGTAAATCTAGCCGCAGTAGTCAAACCGTTAGTGAAGCCATTAAGCCCTGTGCTGGAACTTCCGACATACAACGACTGTCCGCAGACATCTCTACTATCCCGTGCACCACAGATTATGCGCGGGAATGTATTGCCAGACATGCACTCCGAAATTCCTGTGAGAACCTTGTCTACTATGGCCGACAGAGTTGAAATTCAACAAGATCAGATCTAATCTATAGATGTGTGTCAAACAGGTGCCAGTCAGGTATGGCTTTAAAAAATCTAATGACTAGACAAATGCTTGTCAAAGAAGTTCTACAATTGTGAACCAATCAACCAATACTTGTGCAATCTCAGAATAAAATAGCAGCCAGCTTAACATTTTCAGGCTTTATTCAAACGGTAATTCTCTTCATCACAGATCACACCAGCTATCATTTTTCTCCAACGATTCACGAGACTGGTACACCAAAAGTATCTTGCTATAAATTGCCACTGCTGTTAAACGAATGAACTAGCGGAAGATAGTAAGAAACGATTTTAGAATCTCGGCTGTGCTAGTTATATAATACGCTGTGCCAAATTGTCTTGCCAAAGAAAAGGTTATGTACAAAAATACAGTTTGCATGCCAGGTTTACCAATGTAAACATGATAATAGCTCTATGAGACACATGTCACAACCACATTTACATCCCGCGTACTACATTAACACTAATATTACTGTGTAGGCAGCATTACGTCTGACTAAATAAACAAAAGAGCATATGAAGACCTAAAGGTGATAAACAATTTTTTTTTTTTACCGCATATCACCACGTAAAAAAGCGAGTGGCGCTGCTATCGATCGGCGACGACCATTACCTTGTATTCGGTCGAGCACGACACAGGTTGGACGCGCCTGCACTTGTACCTCGCCTTCTCGCCCTCTTGTCAAGACGCCAGTCCTATTCACTTCTTTGCTGCTCCGGGTTGTAGAAGTTTGGTCGGACCGCCCAGGCCGCCATGAGCTTGCCAACAGTCGACCTCGAAACTTCTCAGAGTAAGAGCTCGGCAAACTGCTTCCAGTGTGAACGCTCCAGCCATGGAGACCGGAGCCGAACCGTACGTTGCCCTTTGTGGGTCAACTGTACAGATAGCGTGTCAGGAGGTCATTGCAGGTTCACAAATGGAATATAACGGCCAGTGGGTGCCTGCGCTCTCGGCCATTCGCAAAAAGCAGCCGGCATTAAATTGTCAGACTTATGTCAAATGTCATATCTTTTTCACTGCATATAGCAGAATGTCATTTGTCCAGGCCCCAAGCAGTATTTAGGACATGTAGTGAAGAACAGGAAATGCACGGCTCATGCAGGCTATATTTCATTAAAAGACCGTGTGCGTGCCATAAATTAACCGATTCACCCACCAGCACTTGTAATTTTAACACCCAGAACACGGCAGCGAAGACTAGTGACTTCTTAACACTGAGCCGCTTTAAAGGAGCAGACTAGCGCATCTAGATTTTATGGCATACCAACTGTAACTTACTGTAGTAACAAAAGAATTCGTCTATTCCACACGTATATTTGTTACCAGATCCGCTAATTAAATTGTTATAATTAATTACACAGTCAATACGCTACAAATGTGAACGGCGCCATGACAACCCGTGACCGTGCTGCCCACCACCGAGAAAGTTGCGTATTGACAAAATATCTTGCACGTTACAGACCGGGGCTAATCACAAACAGTGGCCATTATATTTATACTAAATGCTTATTAACCGAAACCGATATCATTTAGCAAATTTATCCATATAAATAACTGGAACTATAGATGCTTTTGATAAAGATATGTACAATCGCTTTGTGCTTTAAATGGAATAAATAAGAAACCTCCGTGCGGTCTGAGCCCTTGCTGGTAAAGTGGTTTTTCGCGCAACTTAGCAGATTTAGCGCTTAAGACAAGTAAAACCTGTAGTCGTTAGTTTTCCCAAACCATTAAAAAAAAAATATTCTAAATGTGATTGAACCATGAACTCTTAATCTACGTAATTATATACCTACCATTAGCCTGAAAAATAACCCTAAGAACCATAGAGTAACTCATCCCATTTAAGGCATCACCGTTTTACCCCAAATTGGCCTGATACTTCTGTTACTCACCAACCTTTCTAACAAGTGCCGGCGGAGCGATAGCAGCGCTCAGCTAACATCTACTGCTTGCTCTGTTGGAGTGGTGGATGCTAGTAACCCTGTAGTCCAAATAGCGTGTTCACACTACATGCATGAAAACAGTGGAAGGCCACAGGGATGGTATCAGGAACTTCTCAATAGGAATGTTCGTTGGGTGATCGTTATGAAAGTTGCCACGAGATGGCGCGTACCAGCGAATTAATCCGACCGGCACCGACTGCAATTGGACGCGTCGTCACTATCAATTGCCGTTTTTACTGCCCCTGAGAAATCCAACTCGAACCGACTGGCAGCCACCTCCTCTGCGCTTTTGTGTATGCCGTCGGTGCCTTTATTCTACGCCGATAGTTTCGTTTTTTATCGAATCACACTATAACACGTGCGCGTAGTTGCAATGATGCAGCTAAAACCGATAGTCGCAGGAGGGAAAACAATAGACAGCATCGGAGTAATGTATCACCCTGATAGCGGTCATTAAAATTTCTTGTTACTGTAGTTCAATTAGCAGAGGGGGTGTACAAGGGTCGGTGTTAACGGTGTAAGCTTACGAGGGGCCAATGTTTTGTAATATTAAAAGCAAGAACGAATTGATGTACTAATGCTGTTATGTGAGTTTTTCTTTATTTACAAAAGGCCTTGTGCCTTTCTCGCAAATTTTGAAAGTTCCTTGGTGCCTTTCAAAATTGCCTCTGTGCCCTTGCCATTTAAAAATCCAAATGGCACATTTCTCACTGCCCTAAAAAAATTGCTTGCCCTTGTTCCCTTTCTCGCGCTTACATTCGATGCCCTGCCGCGTACCGTTTATACGTGTCTCAGATTAAAGATGAAGCTCCCTCGTAAACGTAGTAACACACAACTATATGCAAGACAGGAATAGACAAGCTCTCTCGCATTTACACCCCCTACAACAAGCCTACTAGGCTGAAATAGAGAGCTGCAACTGTAACTAATTTAACGCAGCAATAACTACACAGTACAACTGCAGTGGCAAACGTTACATGTAACACAGGCTGACAGTACAGATCATGCCATAGAAATTATAACGATTTAAGTGCATCAGACCTTCTTCAAGCACAAATTTTAGCTTTTGAGAGATTTCACTGTGCATTGTAGCCTCATATCATCCAGGCATGTATAGATTCATACTACAAACGCCAGCAGTCAAATTCTATTGTAAGTCAGGTAAACCAAATCCTGTTTAACCCTCCTCTTGCATGTCGAAAAGGTTAACCGCACTTCTCTTCGCATGTCATGGTCGCATTCATAACAGCCATAAAACATGCTACGCTCACCGCTGAAACAAAAATAGTTTCTAATCGCTCCGCAGACCATGTCCTCAAAAATGTTCTAAAATCTGCCGCTGTGCCCCATTGACCTTGACCTCCAAATTTCCAGCTCAGTGATGACGCTTTTCCCTACATGATGCCTATATCACGCGACTATCACATTAGCCCTAGGTCAGCCACCGTTTAGATTTTGTTGCCGCAATCTGCATTTCCTTTCCTATATGACCTTACGTTAAAGAGGAATGTTCCCTTCTTTACACCTGCTTGACCTTTGACTCTTGAACCCCCAGCTTCGTCTATCGCCCACTTGTTTCGATTACCCCTCCACGTCCCGATATCGTGACCGTACCTCGAGCGGCTTAAAGATTTGTGCCCAACTGTTGCATGACGGCGGAATCCCCGGACGATCATCGCGATTCTACAAGCTGCACCTGACTACGTCAGATGAGCTAAAAACAATATTTAGTAAACCCCTGACTAGCAGACCAAAAACTCGCACGGACTCTACTCGCCGGGGCAGCTACGAAATCAAACGTGATACAGAAATTTTCCGAGCAAACTTCCTACTCACGGTGCCACCAATCAATCCCAGAAACCACATCACATCCAGACGCTTCAATAAACAATCACTGACAAAAAAAACAAAACAAATCTAGTCAACCCCAAAAATCTACCAGTTGACAGGGGGAAAAACCCGCCCAGCGAAACGTTTCGCACAGACGCAGATCTTCTCTCGGCATCACGTACCTGGATGTTGCCCATGGGTCCGCTGTCGTCGCTGTAGGTGGCAACGATCACGTTGATGCTCTCCACGATGCGGGTGAACGTCTGGTACAGGTCCTCTGGTTCCAGCTGCAGCTCCAGCAGTGCGCGGTCCATCTTGTTCATGAAGACGATCGGGCGAATGCGCTCAGCGATCGCCTGCCTCAGCACTGTCTCTGTCTGCACACACACTCCTGCACACGCAAATACCCACACCATCACTTCGTTGCTAGTGATCGACATAATTATTTGCCCAAGAAAAATGACCACCCTCCCACGCCCCTGAACAATGTTGCTAGGTTGGTCAAGCTAGAGAAATTCGTGCATTTTTCATGCTGCCTCACTGCCTCACTTTCATGCTCAAAATCTGTACTCTGCAGCACCTTGTTGCGGAGCATCATCATTAGACCAAACACTGCCAAATCACGGCAAGCAAACAGATCCGTTAATATGGCCAACGAGCCAGGGTTTGCCGTCACTAGACAGTTACGTGCAAACATAGGAGTATGCTATATTAGAACACATTATTTAATGCGAGAATAATTGTGTTTGTTCGTAGCGCCTTCTGCCCGGCCACGCGATTATTGCCATACGCACCACTGACGCAGTCCACAACGACGAGAGCTCCATCAGTGACACGCAGCGCAGCCGTCACCTCTGAGGAGAAATCCACGTGGCCAGGGGAATCTATCAAGTTGATCAGGAAGCCATTTCCCTCGTACTTTTGCGTCAAAAACTTAAGGTCCTTTTCTAGCACCTCGAAGTACATAGTAATGGCCCTGCAAGACATATGCAAAAACATCGACCACAGTGCAAAGCCAGCACTCTCCAGACCACTGTGTAAACACCAGATAGGTTCACTTCACATTAATGACGGTGCAAAACAACGCAGGTAAGGATGCTTACGTAGATTTGATGGTGATGCATCTCTCCTGCTCATCTTTCCTCGTGTCTGTAAATCTTGTTTCACCAGCTTTTGAGCCGGCAATAATACCAGCCTTGCTCACAAGTGAGTCGGTGAGCGTCGACTTGCCGTGGTCGACGTGGGCGATCACGGACATGTTACGAATGTTGTTCTTCTTGTCCATGAGACCACGGATCTCGTCCACTGTAAAGTTCACCTGCAACACGTACATACACATGTATGCGACTCATGAGCAGGAACCTAACAACATTAAGCAACACAATGTAAAAGCATAACGACGCAACATTGCGCATAAGTGACGATAACAGAAAATGTGACTTTTTGAATTAGTATACAGCGCAGATTAATTACTAAATCTATCACTCGTATTTCCTTAGCAGCCGGTCACATCATGGACATCGAAGTAGGAATAACTCTAGGTAATTTGACAAGTAGTTGAAAATTGAAGTTACTGATCTACCAAGCTTATCTCTACACCTTTGCAGGCCTAACATGACTTAAATAAAGCCAATTTCAGGACATTTCATAAATCTTCTGACATGCCTTATTTCCAGTTGTGTTTACTTTTGTCAATCCAAATACAGTCAGGGAGTATTTTTACAGCTCGATGTATAAAACCTGATAAACTGATGAGTATTATGATGCATCAAACTGATGTGTACATTGCGTATTAGGGTTGCTTATGACAAGCACAAGTGACTACATTTAGCAATCGGGAATGTATTGCCAGACATGCATTCCAAAATTCCTATGAGAACCTTGTCTACTATGGCCGACAGAGTTGAAATTCAACAAGATCAGATCTAATCTACAGATGTGTGTCAAACAGGTCCCAGTCAGGTATGGCTGATAAGTTGAAAAAATCTAATGACTGGACAAATGCTTGTCAAAGAGGTTCTACAATCTTGAACCAATACTTGTGCAATCTCAGAATAAAATAGCAGCCAGCTTAACATTTTCAGGCTTTATTCAAACGGTAATTCTCTTCATCACAGATCACACAGTATCATTTTTCCCCAACATTTCACGACGCAAAACTATCTGCTATAAATTGCCCATACATGCCATATATACTGCTGTTAAAGGAATAAACTAGTTAGGAATGTGAACCAGGAAGAGTAAGTAAACGACTTTAGAATAGGGTGGTGGGGTAATTATACAGACGCGGTGACCCAAATTGTCTTGCAAGAAAAGGTTCTGTACAAAAAGTACAGTTTACATTCAGGTTTACAATGTAACATGATAACATCTATGAGACAGATGTTGCACAACCACATTTACGTCACGTTGACTAATTAACAGCTTCTTATTACTTGATAGTTTCGTATTTATTACTTCAATAAGCCACACAATCATTTAACATGCTGAAGATAACATAAATGATTACTGCAATTTTGAAATCAGTTAATATTTTTGAAAAACCTCGTAAATATTACAAATGTTAAACAAGATGGCCAAGAAATTTTATTATTCTGATTTCACTTGCGTTGTGCAATACCTATAGCAATCAATAGAACACTACATGTAACTGTGACTCATAATATGTATGAAGTAGACATGTTCATAGTGGCACAATCGTTCCACTAGCACAGTAGTTAAAACAGTCAAAAAAAAGGTCATTGTACTTTTGCTAGTCATTGTAGACTATGTGAAAGAATGATATAAAGCACAGCACTTGTTACAAGTACTCAACATTAACTTACTGAACAAGTAGAAATGTACTGTAGTTTCACTTTGTAACAATATGGTAAACAAATTGCGTAACATGCACACATGATCCGGTGGCTGTTTCATTGTCACGATCAAAATTGTGTATGATAACGTGAATATCGTCAAGATTTCGCGAACACACGATAGTGTCAGTGACACGTTGCCATTTATGCGAATAATTAAGGAAGTATCTAGTACACATCAGATAACAGTAGGGTAACATATGCATGTGACATTTTCCCCAATGCCGTTTGTCAGGTTGTGCATAGACCTAATATGCAAGATTTGCATTAGGTTGCAGTTTTAGGAATATGTTCGAAGGGGAAAACACCAGGTAGACAAAACAGACTTGATGAAGCGAGAGTAAACGACGAGTACAAAACTTTGAGTTTGAATTACTAAGTTGTAGTTGTACATGTAAGTTTTACGTTTGTTTTCGACGTTGACAGTTCTTGTTTTTAATCCAAGTAAATAGCAACCCGCGTTCAAAAACCGCATCGTAGAATATTGATGCCAATCAGTATTCAAACACGAGATGATAAGGAGTAAATAAATGCTTTTTGCGACTTCTAACATACTATCGACATTTCTAGCCGCTGTCACGTCAGCAAGCGAAGGAACAACTGTTTCGTAAATTTAACTTAAAACAACGTAGTAAAACAGGACAATCAAAACTAATGAGTTCTCAATAAAGTTTGATGAACTGACTATTAAGTAACATTCGCGTTTTGAATGGATGACACTTACCATTTTGGCTACTTGTACGCTTAGACAACAGCAACTTCGTATCAGTGTTGCGCCTAATGGCGGACGTTAGGAAAGGAACAAGAAACCGTCACGTGACTGGATTGCAACACAGACGGATGAAAATACCAGAAACGGGACGAGCCACCGACTCACAATTGGTTCTATAGTAAATTAGAAATATAAATAGATATAAAACAACATGAGCATATATTTACTTATAAATTAATGGTTAGTCTACTAATGTAATTTCAATGTAATTTGTTGGCGTAGTTTGACTATTAATGTGATATTTTCACGTACTTTAAGTAACGTCCTGGGCATGTACACTGACAGTGAGCTAATGTTGTTATGTTTTAGGAATGTACTTTTATCAAATAAATATATAGGCGAATACGTATATTTATGGGATTTATGATGAACAAAAACACGTTTTGCATATAACTTGATTTCTGTACCAAAGCCTATAAATATAAACACGGCGTGTGCTGTACTATAAAATTTTAAATACGGAGCTTCTTAATACCCAACTAGACTGGCCCTATTCTCTCTATTGAGTTGAAAGAATGACGTCATCGTAGCTGTTTATTTTACATTAGAGCCAGACATTAGAGCCAGTCTATAAGCCAGAAACCTATTACAGCACAAAATATTCGTGTAAATTCGCTTAAAAATCACAAACTAAATTGTACTTTTCTATTTTATTGGTCAGTTATGCGCAAAAATATTATCATTGCATTTTCATGTAATACACGAAAATATCAGGAAGATATAATTGCACATAAAATTATTGATTATGTGTACCTCTCACCAGATCAGTGGCAAAACAAAATCAATGGTGCCCGTTTTAGATGTAAACGGAGGTTGTCTCATATCTGCATTTTAGTTTCTGAAGGTACGTAGTTTGATCAAATGAAATTTTTCATGGTATGCTGTGCTCAATCAAAGTCCCCTTATCACATAGCTATATACATTTATACGTCATGTGATTGCTATAACTTTAGTCATTGCATTTAATTTTCACATTATTAATTAGGCCTACATCATTACTACTACTACTACTACTGTAGCGATGCGGATTGCCCGCGCCATATTGTCTAGATTTGGCCAACCGATGTTGCAATAGTGTCAATGTAGCCACTTTCGGATGACATAACTTTTAAAATAAATTACGATATGTCATAAAAATCAGTATTCAACATAAGAACCATCTTGCCTGTTTGTGTTATTATTTTTAGAATTTTTAACGAAACTGTTTTAGAGATAGAACGTGCTAAAAACCTAACATCGTGTAAACAAGTCTAACAGCGGCATGGCGGAATGCACGCGGCACCGAAATTTTGTGAACGGGACCCAACTTCGAGCCTCTTGGGGCAGTAGAAGAACTTATTAATTTAAGTTGTTATTGATATAATAATGTAGACTATACCTTAAGGTATGGTAATGCCGGTGAGGGGTGCTCCTAATTTTAAATGATTATATTCATTCGTGAAATATTGCGTTTCATAAAGCAAACGAGCTTCAATAAACATCGTCTTCCCACATTCGAAAGATTTCATGCCGGGCA